CGGGGGGTTTCCCCCCGGAGCCACTGGCTGGGAGTCCGCCTCGGTTACCTGGGATCCGAGGGCTAGCGGCGTCCAGTGGACAGGGCACGGGGACGCCACGCAGTCTGCGGGGGACGGGACACTCCTTCCCGCCGGCCGCAGCGGCTCCCAGATCGCAAGCGCTGCACCTGGCCGCCCGGCTGCGCGCCTCTGCTCGGTCCCCGCCCCGTCCTCTGGGGCGGCCCCAACCAGAGGTGCAGCCCTACAGCTCTGCGCCCAGGCACTGGGGGTGCACGCGGCCCCTACTCCACCCCTCCAGCCAGTATTCTCCACTTCTCCCCACTCCGGGCCTGAGGGCTAGGAGCCCACAGATCTGCTTGAGGGCAGGGCCACTGGGCCTGCCCCTCAGAAAAATGCGTGGGGAGGAACGCAGGAGAGGAAAGGGAAACACTGGTACCTGCAGCCCCACCCCGATGCCCTCTGCCCCAGAGAGAGCTCCTGGGTGTTCGTGGGTGGCCCTGGGCAGTAGGCGCCTCGCCAGCCCTTTCCCCTAGGTCACCAGCTCCCAGCCTGCAAGGTGCTGGGCCTGGGCTGATAAGACATGAAGGGACACAGGACAAAGAACTCTGGCTCCAGAAGACTGGCTACTCTCAGGTGCTGAAGGAACCGGGTGCTGCTACTTCCTGCACCCCCACCCCCAGGAACTATGGGAATCCACCCTTGGATCTGGCTCCCAGACTGAGGAGGGGCTGTGGGCCCGCTCTCTGAACCCCCTCCCTGCCACCTGTGTGCCGAGGGCGCAGATGTGGGAAGAGTGTGGGTCTGGGGGTCGGGAGACCTGGGCATTAGTTTCCTGGAACTCTGTGAACTTGGGCAAGCCTGGCTCTACCTGGGCCTAAGCGTCTCTGCTGGCAGCGAGTGGGTACAGGTGATGGTCCCTAAGGCCATTTCCGGGTCCTGAGTCATGACTGTGGCTGTGTTGCTTTGGTAGCTTCTTCTGTGACTGTATAACTTGTTGGGGTGGGGGACAGGGAGACAGAGGGGAAGGGAGAGAGAGGGCGTGTGCTTGTCCTCTTAGAGTCTAGTCCTTTTTTAAAAAAAGAGCTATTTTTAGGGACCAGCAGTTGGCATAATGGCTATGTAGCTGGACTCCCATGTAGCTGACCACGGTTCGAGTCCCGGACCCAGTGGCTTAAACTCACACAGGGTGTGTGTTCGTGCGTGCCCAAGATCCCAAGAGGAGAAGGGATTGTCGCATGGGCATCCCCCCCGGGGGGTGTTTTCTCGCTTTCTGTCTCTCTGTCTTTCTGGTGAGCGCACGTGCCCTATAGCAAAAACCTTTCTTAAAAAAAAGGAATTATTTTTATTTTATCTTATTTATTATTATTATTTTCTAATTTGACTATAGAGAGAGCAAGAGAGGGAAAGTGAGAAAGCAAGCTGCCAGGTCCGGGACACGAACCGCAGTTGGCCATGTAGGAGTCCAGCACCTTAACCACCATGTCACCTGCGGGTCCCTAGATGCAAGTTCTCAAAGGGACAGGGCTGTGGGCATGTGAATGGACATCTTTGCAAACCAGCAAGAATAAACAGGCTGGAGGAGAAACTGTCCCAGTCCAGGTTCTGAGCCGAATTCAGAGCAGCCCTAGGCCAGGCCTTCGCCATCGGTAAAATGGGTGCTAACGGTCCCTAAAGGGGACCGCTAAAGGCCAAGGGGAGCCTTGAGGGGAAAAGGCAAGGCATGCGTGCTTTCTGGAAGTTCGCTGTCTGTGGCGGTGCTGAGCCGAGGCAGGACAAGGGCACGAGCTATCCTCTGGGAGCCTAAGCCCTGCGCTGGCTGCTGCACACCTTGCAGAAGCTGCGGACACACCACGCAGGCCTGCACCCCACCAGCAGCCCAGGGAAACAGGGGCACCCGGGGACCCAGCTGAGTGCCTGCCACTGCAGACCACTGTGTGTACCTGGGGAAGGAAGGAAGGAAGACCAAGGGGTCCCCACCTAAGTGGGTTACTGACACATCGGGGAGCTTGTCTTGGCCTAGCACCTGTCTGTGGCTGCCACGGACACCTTCCTCTTAGCTTGGGGAACTTCACATCTAGCTATAGAGCAGTGGTCCCCACCCTTTTTAGCACCAGGAGCTGGTTTCATGGAAGACAATTTTTCCACAGAGTGTGCGGTTTATGAGTGTGTACAGCCTAGATCCCCTGCATGTGCAGTTCACAATAGGGTCCGTGCTCCTGTGAGAATGTGACGGCAGCTGATCGATCTGACAGGAGGCAGAGCTCAGGTCGCAGTGGAGCGACGGGGAGAGGCTGTAAACACAGACGAAGCCTCACTCACGCACCTGCCCGCCATGCGCCTCCTGCTGTCGCCTGGTTCCTAACGGCCACAGACCAGTGCTAGTCCCTGGCCCGGGCTTGGGGACCCTGCTTTGGAGAAGTGTGCAGTGAGGAGAGGGGGTGGGGGGTGGTGACCACACAGGGAGTCAGAGCAGGGGTAGGGAGTGGAGGGTGCCTGAGAGGAGGAACTCCAAAACCAAGTGTCGGCTTCAATTCACCCATTTCCATGAAGAAACAGAGACCCAGAGAGGGACTGTGGTCTGCCTGAGGTCACATGGTCCCGGAAATAGTAGCCAAGCCGTACCTTGAACCCGGGACTTCAGGGCTCGGAAGAGTGCTGGGCTGGGCCCCTATGTGGGGATCTGGAGAAGGGGGCTGCACACATCGGGAAAGGCAAGCCGGGAGGGCAGCTGTGGTGGGTGTGAGCGCCCATCAGTCAAGAAGCTATGGCACTGGATGTTCCTGGGGAGGCACAGGCCCCCAATTGCCCATTGAGACAGCAGGTGACATGTCAGGAAGGCAGTGAGGTGACAGGGGACATGCACCAGGGGTCAGGCAACCTATATTCGAATGGCCTGGAGCAGGCTGTTTCTCTCCTCCGACCCTCAGCTTCTTCCTCTGCAGAGTGGGGGCAGTAACCTCTTCCTTCTCAGGGCTGGGGCGCTGCAGCAGTGTGTATTTGGAGGTGCTCCGTGAGCCACAGAGTGCTCAGTGAATTCAGCTTCGGAGTTGGGCTCTTCTTCCCAATGGCCTCCATACACACTTGTGGACTGACCCACGGTGGCTGGGCACTGTGTGGCTCTCGGGGCAGTGGGTGGATAGACCACAGAGGTGGGACGTGCTGCAGTCTGGGAGGTGGGAAGGAGGGCGCTCTCCAGGCCATGAGGCCGGGCTTCCTCTGGCACCTTTGCAGCATAACTCGAGACCTTTTTTGGGAGAATGGTCCCACCCATCCTGCGCTTGGAATCTCCCTTCTCCCAGTGCAGGTGCACCATCTCCGAATGATCCTTCAGCCATCCCGACCGTGCATCTGGTCCTCAGGGGCTCACCAGCTTCCCCAGGCAGGCCCAGGGTGCCCATCCTCTTGGAATGTGTCGAAAAGCCTGACAACAGGGCCTGTGCACTTGGCAAGACTCAGGCCCCTCAAATGCGTCCTCAGTCCTCTTGCCCCCAAGTCTTGACCCTAAGTAAGTCCACTCTCTCCTCTTATCCCCTCTGCAGCGACGTTGTCAGGAGAGGGCTTAGGGCCCCACTTTGCAGACGGGAAAACTGAGGCCAGGAGAGGTCCTGGGACTTGCCTGATGGAGCCAGACCTAGAGCAACAACCTGGACCAGAGCCCACACCGTCCCGCCCTGCTGAGAAGGCCATTTCCCGGTGTGCCATCAGGGCTGGAGCGACAAGCCTCGCTTGACAGAGGAAGAAGCCCGTGGCTCACGGGGAGCTTTCCTTTCTGCCACCACGCACACTCAAGTGGCCAGTCTGTCCAATTTCTAGGGCTGCGAACAAGTTGCTGCAAACGCAGTGGCTTAAATGACAGACGTGGACTCTCCCACAGTCCTGTAGGCTGAAGCCCCAAGTCAAGGTGTTGGTCGAGCCAGCCCCCTGGAACTTCTCTGGTGGAATCCTCCCCTTCTTCTAGCTTCTGCCCCCGCCGTTTCTCTGCTCTCTGCCCCATCTTCACGTGGGCTCCCCGTGTGGCCCCATATCCCCTCCTCTTGGTAAAGGATGCCAGTCCCTAGATTCAGGATGGCCTTCCAAGATCCTTAATTAGATCTGCAAAGGCCCTGTTTCCAAATAAGGTCCCAGTCCTAATAGTGGAGGTCGCAGTGTGGACTTATCTTCTGGGGGCCACTATTGAACCCCCTGCAGCGTCTTTCCTCCTGTTTCTCGTCTCACCGTCTCGGCTGCCTGGAGAGAACCTTCTCCTGCATCTCCTCCTGCATGGCTGCGTGACAGAGAAGGCAGGGGCAGAGACTGGCTGGAGCACTGCGCTGGGACACGCCTCCTTTGACGGCCTTTCCTCCGACCACAGCTCTTCAAGAGCACCTTCTTGCGCTTCCTCTAACATCCTTTCATCGTGGGTCCCCATGGCAACCAGGCCCTTCCCAGACATGGGCTGGGGAAGGCACCCTTCTCCCCAGTCGCCCCACTCTGCCCCCACCCCTCTTCTGATGCTCTTTGCCAGGGAGCGACAAAGCTCTGTTCTGTGCAGAGGCCCATCACCGTGGGGTGGGGGACACCATGGGGTGGGGGGCACCGTGGGCGGGGGACACCATGGCTGGCAGCTGCTCCCCATGCCTGGAGCCTGTCCTGCAGCGGGACAGAGGGAGGGGCAGCACTGAAGGCTGGTGTTTGAAGTGTGTGGAGGCAGGAGGGTGACCCAGCCTGGCCAGGAGGGAAGCTCAGCAAGGAGCGACCACTGCCCCAGTGTCTCAGGTACGTGAAGGAAGCCCCAGGCCTGCCCTGGGCCAGTGGGGTCCTCAGGGCTGGTATCCACCAGGAACCAGAGCATCCAGAGAACCTCTGAGTCATCAGGCCCAGGGAGCGAAGACGCTCAGATGGCGTGAGGGCGTGGCACACTGGCATCCGGGCTGCCTCTGTCTCCGTGCCAGGGTCGGGTCCAGAACGTCTTCACAGCACTCGGCCCGCAGTCGCTCAGGGCAGTCCCCTGCTGGGGGAGCCCCGGGCACTTGAAGCTACAGCAGCCCTGGGCACTTGAAGCTACAGCAGCAAAGACACTTGCTGTTTTATATAGGCAGGAGGTTATCTGGGAGGTTTGGGGAAGGCGCTTACAAAGATTTAGCCGGCCCTGCCCCTGCAGCCCCTGGTTACCCACAGCAACCTTGTGTTCTCCTATTAGTGAGGG